CCACAAACAGAGTATATTGTAGAGTTACATTAAGAAGCAATCAACTCTAATCCCCTGCTTGTTTGATGGGGGTTCCTTCTTTTTCTGAGGCAAGAGTGATTTTTCTTCTTTATTCAGACCAAATAAGATAGGATTGCTAATCATATATATTCATGACATCTTCCAACTGAAGAAGGACCATCATCTACATCCTCATCCACAAATTAGATAGGAACATCAATAGTTGCATACAAATTAAAAGCTTGGCTCTAGTCCTAGTTTAAATGAAAAAATGAATATGCTTTTAGCATGGCCCAGACCAAGACCGGCCGGTAAATACCGTCTGTGCCAAACAATACAGGTGATATTGCAATCCTTGGTTTCATATATACTTAAACTTCAAATAACAGATATCAGAAGGTTGAGAACATATATGAAATAATAACTGGTGAAATGTCATCCCAAGTGTCAAGCCACTGAAAAGTATAACAGGGAAGAGACATATATAACAACAACAGGGAAGATGTCCATCTGACATCAAATGACTCACAATATAAGAACAACTAATGCTTCATTTACTATTCATATAAGGCACAGGAGCCAATTTGAGCATATTGGTTATTAGAACCTACCCCCCAGTGTATTTCTTTCTGATTTATCTGTCTAACCAGATCGTTATTTCTCCCTTCTATGGTCACAAAGTCTGCATCACCAGAACTCGAGGTTGGCTGTCCAGGAGAAACTGTCAAGATCATCAGTGCAAGTTATTCATTCAGGAACATGAAACAGAAACATGAATAAAGGAAAAAGAAAATTTATGATGCATGTTTTATACGACAGATAAAGTTATGACAATATGTAGATAATCAGCAAAATACCTTCAAAATCAATATGTTCATTGATTACCCCACGCATGGTAAAAGATTGTGTTTTCTGAAGGTACTGCAGAAGGAGGTCATACGAATACTACATGGACAAAGAAGATTCAAGTGTTACCATCAGGTAATTAAGACCCAAAATTGCAATTTCTACAGGCAGATATTTGCAAAGAAGGGGGGCAATGTGTAAAATACAAGAAAGATGACTTACAAAGAAAATGTTATAAAGGACATATTTAAGGCAATACACAAAAGCTAACCAGGTAATGAAAGCCTCTTGAACGCTTCACCACTAACTGCAAACTGACTAACATGATGATCAGTGACAGAACCAGTGGCCAGTAGTTTGGTGTTTAGCAAAGGACTGCAATTCTACTTTCATTTTCAAGCTTTCAAAAATGATATGAAATGCTAGGTACCAGAATTATATGGTCTTATTCTGGTATGGAGAGCAACTACTCTTAGGCCTAACAGCTGCATACAGCCTTGTACAACAGAGGACAAAGTGTGCCAGCCGAATTGGAACTTCATGAGCACTAATGACCTACGTACCTTCTGATCTCAGTGTAGATTTGAGCATTGTGGTTTGCAAACATTTATTGCACGTATATTCCTTATGCATTACTTGTGCACTTGTACCATTTACATGGACATTCATGAGCATATGATTTTTTTGCAGGTTACTCCCTCTTACCTAGCTTGAGGGGTACAAAATAGTCTCTTCCAATGTGGGATTAGCATTACATACATGCCACCCTCCATGACAAGTGGCAGGAACCTCATACACTTGGCTGTACTTCTCTTCATTGGCAATTTTCCTATTGGTAACTGATCAGAAACACATAAATAAAACAGACCTAGTGTCAACATGTGTCACGCTAATCATGTGGCTGTTACATGCTAACTCCCACAAACAATGCATCTCTTGGTTTAGGCATGGAATTGTTCCCAACATCTGTACCCTGCTAGCAATGTATTGCGAAGTGGTATGCATTAGCACAGACAGAAAGTGCTCCCAGTGACATGGCCCATGCTAAAGTTCAGGTAATATTAATTTGTTTAGGACATGGCACATTTGGGCAAAAATCATTACAGCCCTAGGTTTAAAATTTTGTACAAGTAGGTTAATACATCTTCAATTTAGCATTCTGCTGCATATTGAGAAAAGAAATCTCAAAATATTGTAAAAAGTCCAAGCAGCATAGTATTGGCATGTTAGCCAATACTTTCATCCAGCAAAGATGATAGAAATATAATTACTACTATAATTGCGGAATATCACTAGTAATGATACAGTAATAATGCGTGATGTCTTACTCTTAAGTTCTTAACTAGGTGGGGTCGGCTGCTTGAACTTTATTCTGCATGTAAGCTTTAGTGAGAACAATATCACCAGTGAAACAAGAGCAAACAAGTCACATTTTATGTAATGATATTCAATAGATATTCAAACGGTAGAATTTCCTCAAAGACAGGCATTATATATAAGTTGTCCTTAAGAGATGGATGCATGATGGAACTTCCACTCATTGTTGAGTAATAGATTGAACCATCGATGACAACCTTCTTCAATGTCTATACTAGGCAGATCTGGGATTTGTTCGCCTGCTCTCTGCACTCTGGTAAATCCTATTTCCTTAGGAAAGACCTGGAGAAAATAGAGAGAGACCAAATCCTCCTATTAAGGGTTTTAGTATCTGGAAAAAGTCAAAAAGATTTGTCTTCTTTTTGAGTTTGTAAGAATTTCTTTTCTTAATACTCTAGAGAGCAAGAAATTTTTCTGTTCTCTTGTTTTACTCTCTTGAACTTATCTTACTTGATTAACTGAATAAGTTACTATCTACTACCTTTGCATCGAAAAAAGGAAATGCTCAAAATGATAAGTACAGTTAAAATTAAAATAACTATACTCAAGAAGCAGAAAGTGACACCCCAACTAGTCCTACATTGATATAACCTTCTAGTTAACATAAGGATTTCAGCGACAAGGCATGCCAGTCCACGCCAACCAGCATGTTCTGTTCCAGTTCCAGTGAGGTGCTGGAAACAGTACCTGCCAATTGGAAAATCAACAAGGCACAGTGTTAATGTCAACAGGATGCCTGAAGTTTTGAACCCAACATTCGAGCTGAAAAAGTTCAACAGATCAGATCACACGAGTTCAACCATTTGAAGTTCATACTATTTAATACTTTTAGAGTTCATCTCATTAAAAAGAGTCTGAAACTACAAGTACACCAAGGTTTTTCTCACCTACAAAGAACCACCATCAATTCCAATCTTTATATGTGTGTATCCCTTTTCCTAATTTTACTCTCCGCTCTCATGTGATCAATGTGCTTGTGAAGAAAAAGTCACACAACATCCATGCCGATAGCATATATGTCATGTCAATTGCCGGATATCACATATAAACCACCATGCTTGAGTATAAGCACAAAGGATGAAGAACTGTTCCAGCATATATGCACGGTTCTTTAGTACACATAAAAAGCAGTTTATACTACTAGACACCTTAAGTATCTAATGCCAAGTAAACATGTACATGTATCGATTATGAAAAATATAAACATGCAAAAATACACATCTATTTAAGCATAACCACACATGAGCCAACTCAAGGACAGAAAATTGGAACATTGTGCAGGATCACACCTCACACATTTTTATTTTGAATTTGTTCTGCCTAAAAGAACGAGACAATTCGATCTCCTGCAAAGAATGACATATATGTGAAGATAATTGGTAATTAACAGACTCCACAGAGTAAAATACACATAAAAAATGTAGAAGCTACAGATTTTTAATAGAATAACCTCCAAATGTAAGGGAGAAAGGATTCCTTCGAGTTTCTGAAGGTCCCTTAAATGCATTGATTCATGATCTTCACGGAATGTGTGGAAAAAATTTCGAGCTGCAGGTTACACAACAATACAGACTTAAATATGTGACAGTAATCAATATTGTATGTATGACGGCCAATTACAGAAATGAAATAGACAAAAGATATGTACCTTCATGTACATGTCCTCCTGCCACAAGATCCATGAAACAGTGTATGTAAACTGGAAAAAGCACACGAAGCAGCTCATGCTGTACAAGGTTCAGGTGAGAGACAGGTCATCAATGCAAAAAAAGTAAATGCAATTGTGTTGGTGGTCCAAGAAAGATATCATGAGGACTTTAAAAATAAGGGTGGATAACTCAGGAAACAGATAATTCCATAATTGTTTATTCAAATTTCAATCAAAAATAGACCACCGTGGTCAGAAGGTTTAAATTGAAAACTTGAAGAAAAGAGCTTTGGGCAAATACCTAAGATCTAGAAACAATACATTAGTGAGATAGCAGCAAAACACATACCACATATCGTGCTGCAAATCAACATTTAATCATGCCATGAGGTCGACACATAGGGCTCAACCTGATCACAGGATTTCCTTTTTGGTTGAGACGGTCTAAATCTCCTTCACTCCTAGGGTGATACACAACAACAACTAAGAATAAGTTCATCCCCATCATAGTAAAAATGGGCCAAATTGCCTTCAATCCTTCATTGTTCCTCTGAGATAGCAATATTTGTTGTTGGAAGCTGAGTATCTAACACCAAAAGGTCCACTAATCTACTCCAAAAGAAACATGGGTGTACAAAAATAATCATCTAGCTAATGTGCAGTGGGTTGTCAGATTGGGGGTTTGGGCAGAGAGGAAGTGGTCAGCAATGTTAGAGGGATTGTTACTATCATGCGGAGGCATCTCATCATTGATAACTGCAACATAGCAGATTGCACAGACAATTCAAGGTCCTTAACATTTTTGCTCATAATCTAGTTTCCAAATTAACCTGCTCAACTCAGGCTCACCTAAGCTCAGATAAGATAACTAATAGGTTCACCATGTCAGCCATATATAGGAGGTCTGTACAATAAGTCAGAGAGAGAGAGCGAATCTCTTTAAGTGAAAGATATCAACAATCAACAATATAAAGAGCAACAGGCAAAAGGTGCAAAATTAGAGGTTAAAAACCAACAAATAGAGCTTATCAAGAACAAAAAGATATTGGAAATCTAAAAAAATTCCTTCAAATGCACTCATAATAAATGTTTGAATTTGATCTATCAGTAATGTATGAAAAATACAAAAATTAAGACCCTGCAAAAACCTTTTAGCCTATATACAAATCCATCATTAGAAGATGAGAGGAAAAATTAAGATACGTAAGGTAGTTGCTAGGTATTTGGTTAAAAAGTTCTTTCCTTGATGCAATCCTCTTGCTGCTAGCTCAAGCTTACTAACCGAGCATGGTGGCAGTAGGTGCAGTGCCACAATTGGATGAAGAGGGATCCCACCACACATAATATGCCCATCTTTTGGAGGGAAATAAGTAGTGAACAGAGTGGGTGTCAGCTATGATCAACATCAGAGGGCGAGAGTGGATGACAAGTAAAACAACAAAGTAATTAAGGTTAGAGTTCAAATTCAGACACATTACTGTATCCACATATAGTTAGAAGTTCAGGTTGACTCAGGCGGCCCCACCAGTCAACTGCAGCTGCGACCAATTTTGAATAGAATTCAACTTTTCCTACCCAGACCCGCATAGCCTCCATCCAGGCTCGCCCAAATTCAAGCTCAGGTTGGCCCATGCAATTTTGAAGTCCAACTCACAGTCACAGCCAGCAGTAAGGAAGAAATATGAGTGATACAGAAAAGAGAGAGAGAGAGAGAAGATATGAATGAAGAAGGAAGTAGAAATATGTGAGAGTAGTCCAACAGAGAAAAAAAAAAGAACAGAGAGAATAAGTAAAGAAAAGGCATGAAAGATAATGGTGTAGAGTGGAAGCATATTTGCCCACCATTGTTCGTCAAGCATAAACAAAGGAGAAAACAGATTGCTCACACCTGTCTGAGGAAAGGCTAAATCATAGTGCCTGGAACAAAAACAATTCCATATCACCCAAAAAACTGAATCAAGGCATCAGCATCATCGAGCTCCAAGGCTTGCCAATGCTAGTGATGACTTGACAATAAGTTACATGTCAACCAATAAGAGAAACTATAATCCATGTCCAGAAATATACCATCAAAAACAACCATCTCAAACAAGCAACATAAGCTACTTTATTAAGATGACCATCAAACAAGAAACCACATTTAATTGTCAAATATCAAATAAAAGAGAAATCATGAACTTTCAAGTAGTGAATCATCAAATTATAAAAAATTAAACTTCTCTACTTTTTAATAAATGACCATGACTACAAATTAAAATTTTATCACCATATCTTGTTCACTACCTATCAACTATACAATTGATTTACCTTGTACAAGTCCAGTGAACTGTAGGCCCACAAGCGTAGCTTGCTATAACCATCACTATATCGTACTGGACCATTCTCTAATCTGTCAAAAAATACTTAATTATAAACTCAAACATAAAAATAACATGGCAGCTAGTTCATAGAAATGAAGATAGATTTTAGAATCATCCAGGAGTCATCGCACCTATTCTGTTTGCATACAGCCATACACCTGTCTAAGTTGGGAATATTTTAACCAATTAAAATCATATAAGCATACAGCCATACACCTGTCTAAGTTGGAAATATTTTAACCAATTAAAATCATATAAGATACGAAACAAGTACACGCAAAAGACAAGAAATGTGTTGATGTTAAGGTTTCTTCATCAAGGAAAATCTTAAGATGTCCTTTTAGAAAATATTATATATGCTTCTCTGGACTCAAGATAATAATGTAGCTCAAGATGTGCAACCCCAAAAGACAAGGAGATAGCATCATCGGATTTCAACAACCAATAAGAGATTTGGAAAAGAAAACTGTTAATATCTGTCATCTACCAGGTACTAACAAGCATAGCAACATTATCATCTCCAAAAGGATTCAGATATTAAGTTCAACGTCGATGTGGACGAAATTTAGCAAAGCGAAGAAACCGAATTGAAAACAAGAAAAGCAGGTTCCTCCTACCAGCTTAATATACAAATTCATACCACAGAAACAAGCTCCGCCAAGAACAGAAGGATTGAAGAAGAAAATAACGTTAAAGCGAAGAATAAAAATAATTGTATTTGCAAAATTCGTGAATCAAAATCTTAGAAGTTCTTTCAAACTCTCAATATCCATATTCTCTATTTAGCGCCAATGTTGAGCTTCAAATCGCACCACTTCCAATTCCTCAAGAACCAAGCCTCCGGAAACAAGAACGAGCGCAGATGAGGGAAAAGAAAGATCGTCCTACCTGGATACTGAGTGATCGGAGTTGGAAGAAAAGGAGACGCGATTCTGCTCTTCCTGAAGGGCGAGCTCTGTATTCGTGAAGCCCTTCTTCCTCAGGTAAGCGGCCACCGCTTTCTGGATCTCTTCCTCCTCCATTAGCGACTCCGAAAACGCACGAATTACGAGAGAATCGAAGAAGCAGGCACGCGATCACTCGAGTTCCTTTGCCCCTCTTCCAGGGTTTCTGCAAGGACTCGCACAGCGGAGCGACGAAGTTGGTACCCGGTTGAGTCAAACAAACCCCTCGGCCGTGACCAGATCCCAGTGCCGCTCTCTTACTGTAACCACTTACACGTGATATGCACGTGATCGTGAAGCGTCGACCACCTCCCCATCCCGGTGCGACAGTAGTCTTTAAAATGATCAATTTGAATGGGTTAGACCAAGTCAATCCAACACCACATGATCTAAGACATGCACAAGACACCTCTTTCTACGTGTATCTATTTATTGATGGATGGATGGATGGATGGATGGATGCACACATTTTATTGTTGAGACCTTTGAATGGGTTGCGCTAAGTAGAGGTTCCAATATTAATCCGAATCCACTGTGCATTGGTCTAATCCAATCTAAATCTAACGAGGTCAATTTTGACCCAATTTGACTGAACATAATTTTCAATAGGCCGGTCTCCCCTCTATGAAAACTTATCGACCGGCCTCGACAGATGCACAGTGACTTCCAATTGGACTAATACAAAAACTCGTCGCTGAGCCACTCCTATCAAACAGCAGAATTGATTAATTCCTGCATTCTGGTAGTGTTGGTGAGAATACAAATTCAAAGATGCTAAGAATATGATACTTGTCAGCAAATAAACCTATTTAATCCACAAAACTTTCAAAAATATTGCAACAAACATTCAACATGAATCCATGAAAATAACGATAACAATTTGGTGAAGGAGATTAATATGCAAATACAACAATCTTAATCTACCAACTACACTGGTAACCATATATTCAATCCAAAAAGTTTTAACACCTACGAAAGCCAGCATGAAAAAAGGGGATTTTGTAAGACAACCATTGGATCTGTCAATCTGTTGGTAAAATACAAATGTTGACAGCAAAGTTAAATCCAGCAGAAAATGTATTCATCTTCGGATGGCCTCTGAAGAAACTGAAGGAGAAAAACAAAAGAGAGGTGACTACACTTCTGCAGAGCAAATAAGTAATGTTTTATCGTATAGTGGAACTTGAAGCATTAACCTAGTCAGTCATTTGCTGCCAGTACATCCGGCAAGGGAAGGTTTTCCAGCTTTCTTATAACTAGCTTCTTTTGCGGGGGATGATCTTTAAGGGATTGATCAGCATCCACATCCACAACTATTGAGTCATCTTCGTCGAAATCTCCTTTAAGAACACCAAGAGCAATTTCATTCTCCACCATCTGCTGGATTACCCTCTTCACTGGTCTGGCACCAAAGTTAGGGTCAAAACCAAGGTTCCCAAGAAGCTCAACTGCTGCTGGTGTATAATGAAGGTAGATGTTCTTTTGTTTAAGCCTGTATTTCAAATGCCCCAACTGCATCAACAGAGTAACAAGCTCATGAGATAACAGGCCATTACACCAAATGAGAGATTCACCATAGAATAAGCTCAATTTTGCAAAGCTATACAGAGTGACATAGTTAAATACTGGGTGTGGTAGCACATCCAGGATCAAGAAAAAAAATTACATTACGAAGTGATTACCGTGCCTATCAACCAAAGAGCAATGACAATAAAAGATACAGCAAAGGATCAATTAGCAATTCAACATAAATGGCAGCATATCAGTAACACCTAACACAAATAAGTTAATGAACACGGTAAATTACATGTCATACATGTTAAATGAAAGGATATATAGCATGCGATAGATGTTGCTGCTTCTAAACCATAAAATCATAAGGGCATACCTGCATCTCAACAATACGATTGATCTGTCTAGTATCCAGAGGCTGGAATACAATATACTCATCAATCCGGTTCATAAATTCCGGGCGAAACGTTTGTCTGGCCAACTCAAGAACCTGCTTCTTCATTAGTTCATACACAGCATCCTTGGTATCATGTGTGTTTTGGAGAGTATCAAGGATGAAGTGTGAGCCAATATTTGATGTCATTATAACAACAGTATTTGTAAAACTGACAGTCCTTCCCTGTGAATCAGTAATTCTTCCATCATCCAGCAGCTGCAACAGAATATTGAAGACATCATGGTGTGCCTTTTCAATTTCATCAAAAAGAACTACAGCATAAGGCCTTCGTCGGACAACTTCGGTTAGCTGGCCCCCTTCCTCGTAACCAACATAACCTGGTGGTGCACCAACCAGTCGGGAAACAGCATGCTTTTCCATGTATTCACTCATATCTATCCTTACAAGTGCATTCTCTGTGTTGAAAAGGTAGCCTGCCAAAGCTTTTGCAAGCTCAGTTTTACCAACACCAGTGGGACCCATAAACATGAAACTCGCTATAGGCCGATTTGGATCTGATAATCCTGCCCTAGAACGTCGGATTGCATCAGCCACTGATCTGACAGCAATATCCTGACCCACCACTCTCTTATGCAGTACGTCTTCCAAATGGACCAGTTTGTCCCTCTCTGACTGCTGAAGATTTGAGATAGGTATACCAGTCCACTTACTAACAATTTCAGCAATATCAAGGTCTGTGACCTCTTCCCGAAGCATTGACTTTCCTGACTGTCGGAATTCAGCAAGCTTCTGCTCAGCCTCTTGAAGCTGTCTTTGTAGAGATATAAGTGTACCATACTTCAGTTCAGCAGCACGGTTCAAATCATATTCACGTTCAGCAGCTTCCATTTCCAAATTAACTCTATCAATCTACAGTAACATCAAAGAATTAGAATGATAACCGATCATTGATTCTGTAAGTTCTACAACTTTTTCCTGGCCAAAAGGACCTTACCTCCTCTTTAATTGAACGAATTTTGGTCATGAGGGATTTTTCCTGCTCCCACTGTTCTGTTAGTTCTTTCTGTTTTTGTTTTAGTGATGTTAAATCTGCTTCCAGCTTGCTTAGTCGTTCTTTAGATGCTTTATCAGTGTCATTTTTCAAGGAAAGCTTCTCCATTTCTAACTTCAGCACTGCTCTATCTACCTCGTCCAACTCAGTGGGCTTTGATGTTATCTCCATTTTCAGCTTTGCAGCTGCTTCATCAATAAGATCGATGGCTACAAGCACCGACAAGATATGTTAAAGATCATCCATATAAAATTTGCTATAACCAAAATATTATGTTTCATCACAATGTGCAAAGTATCAGCATACCTTTGTCGGGCAGAAAACGTTCAGTGATGTACCGATCAGATAGAACTGCAGCTGCAATAAGAGAACTGTCGGATATCTTTACACCATGATGCAATTCATAGCGCTCGCGAAGTCCACGAAGTATTGATATTGTGTCTTCTACGGATGGCTGACCACAATAAACCTGCTGAAACCTACGTTCCAAAGCAGGGTCCTTTTCAATGTACTTTCTGTATTCATTCAAGGTAGTTGCACCAATACAACGAAGTTCTCCTCGGCCTAACATAGGTTTCAGCAAGTTACCAGCATCCATTGCCCCACCAGTTGCTCCTGTATTGTACAATACGACAAAGGACCAACAAATCAGAGGACGGTGTTCCATGTTTGTCATGCAATGATTTTTATTTTGGATATTTTGGCATAATGGTTTAGTGGATTCTACACTTCCATACTGCATATGCCATGAGAAGGGTCAAATATAAAATCCAATACTAGGGTGAGATTGCATATATCGGCTTACACAAAAATTCTACTTAAAATAACATATTAGTCAAACCAAATAACTACCAAAGTTCCAAGTATAAAGCTAGAAATGACCAAAATCAAGATACTTGGAAGAACTACAGAACATTTAAACAGTAAAAATATTAGCAATCTAATTAGCTTGCACCTGCGCCTGACTCTTTTCTACTAATCAGGCATCAACTTGTACATACAGTTGTGGACATATGGTTATACCCAGTACACAGTAGAGCAAAGAAAAGTTAAGATAACTAAGAATGATACATATATGTCAATTTGTCAGGTGAAAATTCCATCAGTAGAGTACAGAGTGGCAAAGCAAAATAAATCATATGCCACTTTCTCTAACACCTCAAATGCCATATAGTGAAAAAAATAGCCTGTCACCAAAAACCAACAACCTTCATCTAAAACAATTTAAGCAGTGATTGATTAATTATCAATGTACTAACATATAGAGTATTGTTCACAAAATTTTGCTCCTAGCCCTCCTACACAAAATTTCCTATATTAATAGCCATGGAGACAACTTCAAACATTTGTGAAAACCTTCTATTATAAGTATAGTAACCGACCATAACAAGGAATATGAATGACAAAATGTACCCTAGGCCTAAAAAACCATGTTCAACAAAAACATATCTGATCCTGCATAACTTTAACTAACAGAGAAAAGACCTTCATAGGAAAATCTACGCTGTTGGAAGAAGCATATACTATAAAAAAAAATCCTAAAATAATATGTTGGTCTCCATGGATCCTTTCCCATTTTTATACATTAGTCATATTTGTGTTACTTCAAAATCTAATGCTAGTTTTACTGAATGCAACCCCAGTTTTTTCAAGCTCTCAGACCAGCTGCAGAAGCTTCAACAGTTCACTAGAAGTTGCTTAACAGAGTAAAATATCAAAAATGTTTAGGAAGCAAGGTAATTCAGGAATTATTATGATAGGTCCAAAAAAACAAATTGTTTTGTTCAGTTAACCTCTACCAGGAATAATTTATTGAGACCAAATCAAAAGTTTCCAAAAATGATTTATAATGTTAAAAGTCCTCCAATATATTCATCAAACTTAATACAAGTCAATAATGATTAGTGTTGCTTACTCCTTGGGAGTTACCAAATAAATCTACTGAGAAATTACATATCTCTTTAAGAGATGCTGCTCCACAAATCCAAGTTTGGATTGTTCCAGACTGCACTTAGTTTCAAAAAGAAAGCATGATTTTTTTTTGTGATTTTGACTGCAGACTAGAGTTATTCATTCAGAGAAAAAAAAAAAAGTTGTGAATATCAACATGATTTTCAGCATATAATTGCTTGTTTTTCAAAAAAAAAAAAAGAAGAAGGGGAACATTTGAAACTGCATTATGATCGTTGGACATGAAAAATGAGTACAAACCTGCACCAACTACAGTATGTATCTCATCAATGAACAAAATGATCTGTCCATTGGAA